GATTCCTTTAAGGTTTTCTGTTCTTTTAACAGATTAACCGCAAAACTGGTGTGTCGGCTTGTATAACTGCATATACAGGGGGCCAAAAAAAGACATTTTGCCCATGTCGCACTTCGGCCTTTTTTCTTCGCAGAGATTGCCGTCGTTGACGGAAGTTCCTCAGCAAAATATTCCCTAAATGTCCCTCTATAAGTAACGCAGGCCCTCCTTCACTGCCCTCACCGTCTTCAGAATATGACGTCATCTGTCACCGTCGTCAAGCTCAAGGAGGCCTACCGTAACTGCTTCAGCCTGAAGCTCTTACATAATTTCGTGAATCGATTCAATGTTGGATAGTTTCTAGAGGCATTAGCTACCACTGTGCAAATCCCCTCGGAACTAGCTTTCCAGTAAAGGTCGTTATGGTACACGATCCTTCGAAGACCCCATTGAGCTCGACCAGTGCACCATGTTTCCAGGGCAAATTTTTCTGATGCCGTCCACGTAGGTGGCCACTATGAAGATTTTCTTATAGAATGAAATGTGCTCTTCAATATAAGTTGGGACCATTCGGTTTGAATTGAGCAAAGTGTGCTTAAATCCATCTGGAAGTGGAGACAAAATGTCTTTTTTTATTGCCCCCCCCCCTGTATGTATGTCAGTCTGTCCGTCCGCAAAATGAAGTGAGTGATAAGGCAGCTAATGGAATAAACAAGCCGCAACAAATCTGGGTAGCTTGCAGGACTTGCATTATCAAAGTTTTGCAATGGCACACACTATCAACGACTATGTAAACCCCTACTTAGCAAATTCTCGGGCATCAGAAAAGGTGCTGCAGGAAGCTATAAAACAGCAGGGAGGAGGGGAGGATAAGGGTATGAGATATTGCAATACTTACGCAGTGAAGGAAGATTTGCGATTGCCGAGAGATCAATGTGGTCAGATCATGAGCTAGAAATATTTGTATAAAGCTCAATATATGATACAATAAATATAGGAGGTTTTAGACTCAGAATTGCAGTAATTTAGTTGCATATTGGAAAAAGTTACTTCACAGTATTTAGTATTAGGCAAAAAAAGAGCCCAGTAAAGCTAAAGCCGTTATACTTGTTATTAATTATCTTTAGTAATTCACTTACAAGTGTGTGGTCGCTTCATCTGAGAAAACGGTTGTGTCTTATTAACAGAATGGCATTTGCATACTACGCACTTTTTAGGCAGGCATGAAGGCTGCAAAATTCGTATGAAAGGAGGAATTCACGATTAGAATGGAGGTCGAAGAAGGAGTAATTCACCTAGTTGAGGGAGCAGAGTCAACCCTGCGTTGCGCAGTTCTCAACGGCCACGTTGCGCAGTTTCGCCCGATTAGACACGTTCTCTCGCGCGAACATTCACACTCGCATGCTCGAGCCGTCTGCGTCTCCGCCCATACAGCGTGCGTTGAGGATCTCTCAACGTGCCGTTGCGAACTGCGCAACGCAGGGTTGACTCTGCCACGGACCTCCTGAGGGTGCGAACTGACGCGCAATTCGCACGAAAAATTTGACCTCGGCGACCTATCATGCCTCAAAGTTGGCGGGTCCGGCGATCTCCGCCCACCTGATCACTCGCCGCAGGTCTATACGTGGCGAGTGATTAGATAGCAGAGAGAGCGTAGTGTTGAAGAGGGCACAGCGATGAGAGTCGCATCAATGCGCAAATCAACGGGCAGGAAGGGGTCCCATTTCTCGGGTTCTGGGCCGTTTCTCATGGTTTTCCTTCTTTCGTGTACCACTCACCATCCTAAGTTAATTTGAAATGGGTTGCTTTTTCATCGTGAATTCGTCCTTTAATGTCAAGTTCAGCGAGAAGGATATTCTAGGTTTAAGTGTTCAGCGATGGTTCATGAGATTCCTAGAAGGCTGGACTTTTTCGAAGACGTGCGTGCATATAACTATGATCGGAAAGAAGGTTCTACTTGATGTAGTTGGAACCAGGGTGAATATCGGTCGAGGAAATCCTCGACAGGGGGGTCGTACCTGTTGGGCTGGGTCCATGGGGGGTCGTACTCTTGGGGTCAGTAACAGAAGTGGTATCATGGTGCAGATAGGTAATAGGGTATAGCGCAGCAGAAAATGAAAATATCTGAAAAAACATGATATTAAATTTTCTTTGCAGGTTCAGTCGCTCCATTCCTCCACCTTCATGAGAAGGGCGTATTTGAAGGCAGTACAAAGAATGAAAGTGCATCCCCGCAAAGAACTGCCACATGTGCGCACGCGCTGCAAAGGCACCTCCTCTGCCTATCGCTCGCTCCTTCTCCCTTAATACCTCGCTGAGAATGACACTGTTGTTAGGGACCCTGTCGCAAAAACGACAACCGTGAAGGAAAAGCCCTGGGCAAATGAAGTTGTTCTTTAGGTTGTAGGAGTTACGAAATGCGTTTACTACAATGCAGCTTCTGTCAACTGGTCATGATCATATAACACCTTTCAATCGATTCTGCAACTGTGAGTGGAGGACGGATGCATGGCTTATACCAATACGAAATCGGATGATGACGATTGCCCCTATTCTTATTGCTTGCGTTCAAAGATTTTCTAGACACATTCCGAGTGTTGCCAACGAATCACACTTGCAATGGTGAAGGAGGGAGCGGATTTTCAGGTGGCCGGATCCGTCCTCGATACATACTCGACGCAGATATCTTCTCAACTAGGGAATGTAGAAGAAAGCTAAGAAGGCCATCAGAAAGCGCAAACCTTCCGCTTTCCAAAACTGTCTTCCCTTTTTCAGGGGCATTAGCGAGATATTGCTTTTGAAGTGGCAAAAACTCGCGTGAAAATTTCAGCGTCCTCGACATTTACTCGACGAAATTTGAGAGACCCTATCTTTCTGCATGGAAGGCTTTCAGAGCAATTTCAATACTTCTTGGAAACGCGAAATCCAGCTCTATCTAACCCTACCTCAAACTGCTTCAAAGGTTATGAAATGGAGGAATGCAACCTTTTCATCGAGGGTGTAGATTTCGACGGTTTTTTTTTTGGATTTCAGCAAATCTGACCCAGTGACAATCGCGCCGCAGCTGCCGTTGAATCGGCCGTTGATTGATACACTCGGCTGTTTTGATATACTCAAGCAAGGAATCAAGATTGAATCGCAACCCCGTGCCTTCAGGATTTCTGTGCATTTCTGAACGAACCTGACTTTGAGGTCACACAAAGTTAATGCCTCTTTCCTCGAGTCGATATTTCAGTAAATACACAAAAGTGTGCAGCGATGAAAGACAGTGCATAGATGACAAGATGATGCGTCCATAACATTATTTTGCAGGACTTTTTTTTGATTTAATTTGCAGGATTTTTTCTTTATTTATTTTGCAGGATTTTTTTTTGATTTTGATTACTTAATTGAATTAATTTGCTCTGGTTTAGGGGGTCGTGCCAGGATCTCGATTTCGGGGGGGGGGGGGGGTCGTACTTCTGCGACCACGTACTCGACACGATTTTACACCCTGGTTTGGAACTTGAGTGCTTCAAATGTGAGTGAATAGGTGCCAAGCGCCTTCGCGAAAAGCTTCTTGTTGTATCAAAAATGCGGCCACATAGCTTAGCCATTAGGAGATTTCGAGCTGTCAGATTAGTGAAAATGGACTCGCGATGGGGTCAACAGGGTGACTCCAACGCATCGTCATCTCACAGAATGACTATTTCCAATCGCGTACCGCATGCTCCTACCTGCCCTAAGTCTCTAAGGCGTCGGATGAGGCAGGAAGAATTACGGAAACGAAGGGGTGGGCACGAAGCCGGATAGTGCAGTAAGCATGCGGTAAGGGAAAATAAGGAAGGGCATCGAGGAATCGATCAGGTCTATGTGGCGTCTGCCCGATACTTCTGTTTTGTCTATCAACTCTATTGGTGAAATCTAATCTATGCTAGTGCGCGTCGACTGGTCCGCAGCGATAAGTTCGTTAGTCGATTTCCCTGGTATTCACTCGCTTCCCACTCTTTTCTGCGCGATTATCGTTATCCTATTTATGAAGGACTATAGAAACCTTCATGTGGACTCACTAAAACTCTGAAGATTTGCTGTCGCATCCATACAGTCTCCATGAATGAAATGGAATCAGTTCAAAAGATCAGAACAAATTTCACAAAATATTCCCAGGTATTTTTCTGTTACTGTGTGATGAGCAGGAGTCTTCGATTTCAATTGTTTATGCACTTGTTAAAAAGAAATTAAGATTATTCCACCCCTATCTTTGATTTTTGAATATACGAAAGGATGGTTGCGTGATTTTTGAAGCGTCATGGAATCACCGGAAGTGGAGCAGCTGTTTGTACCCTCCATTGTACTCCATTTTACCGTTGTAATTTTATCGGATTAGCAACAATTATCCGTCGTTTTTTTTCAGGCTAATGGTTTTTTAACTTTTTTGCTAATTATGGTGATTTCCTGAAAACGCGCAATCTGTTGTACATTTTGAATACAACATTTGGGTTTATTTACTTCACCATGGACGCTTGGTGTTATGAGAATTAAGGTCGCTCCGCCTCTTCAGTGAAAATTCCACTTGCACGCGTGTTGACGGATTTCCCCAGATAATTGATTGGGAACAAGATATTGATATATATATCGGTAATATTGCTGATATTGCCTGAAACCAGAGTCACCGATATATTGATTCCCCAGTTTCGAAATATTGATGCACTTACTAAGATATTGATCGTACTCGGAGTTCTTCTACAGATATTGAATGGCCGATAATATTGATGATATTGTTCTCTACCCTAAACAGAAAATATTGAGTCCTTTATTATAAGTAGGTTTAGAGAATATGAATACTGACGATATTAGAAGAATCTCTGACGGGTTAAGTAGCTATTGCTTCGAAGATGGTATTGTTGAGCAGAATATCGAGCCGGGTTAGAGCAGAGCACAGGAGCCAGAAGCCGAACGCAGAAGCCGAAGCAGAAGCTCGAACGTTCGCGAACCTCGCTCTTTTATGCGGCATCGACCCGTCGGAGGCGATGGAATGAAAAAAACATCTGGAAAAAATGTTTGACTAGATCAGTCTACTGATAAGAAAAAGTCAAGCTAAAAGCAATCAATAAATGAAATGAATGAGTAAAAGCTTTCTAACCATATGTACAATCGTAGCGTATTTCGCTACACTCCGGGCGCGAGTTATTGGTATTTCACTCGATGGATTTCTTCTTTTACCATCCTGATCCTTGCAGTTATGCGTTCCTTTGAGTCAGGGATAGAACATATGGCTCTGTGGTGAGGCTGTTTGTCAACAAGGAATGACAAGGCTGTGTTTTGCACTATTTCGCAGTACCAACATTCCTGGTCCTTCGCTCTACATACCTCGGTCGCGTGCCCTTTTCTGAGGCACAACTTACAACGACTTTCTTGATCGATGTAATTGTAACGTTCCCGTCCATCTGTGATAAATGTGCAAGAATCCGAAAAGTGGTCTCCATATATTCCACAGAAGGAACACTCCACACGTACTGGCTCCTCCGGTATCTCACCAAATTTCCTTTGAGGAAGCAGGAAGCGACCTTTGTAGAGGTCGTCAAGTTCCATTACAAGATTGTGAAGATATTGTTGACGCTCCTGCTCTCTCTGAAGACGTTCTTCTTCCGCCAAACGACGTTCTTCTTCTTGGCGACGCTGCTCTTCTTCTCGACGACGCTGTTCTTCTTCTTGACGACGTTGTTCTTCTCGAAGTCGATCCTCTTCATATTGAATGTGCTTGCGCTTTCTTCTTCTCCACTCTTCCTCTGGTATGCGCTTCAGCAACCCTCGCCGACGGATCCGTCTCAACTTCAATCTCTGCATACTTCAATTAGAGTTTCTTTCTCATGTATTGCTCGTCGGAAGATATACGAGTGCGAGCATCGATGCGTTGTGTGGTCAATGCTCGGCGGGGACCGGGAGTTTATGAACATGCCCGGCACCGGGGCCAAGTAGGTGAGTGCATCTTGCTGGTTGTGGGTTGGTCTTCAGCTTCTGGATAGCACTTTCTTTTCACCGGTGGAGAATGATCCAGTTTCTTGCCTTGTGCCGGTTTCGATAGATTCAAGGCGATGTCGTCGATCTTCTTTTCCAGCTTCTCTATTGTCTTGTTGAAGACTGACACGAAAGTCTCCTTGTTCTGAACTTTCTCGTCCTGTACCATTTTCTCGGCACGAGTCAGCTCACATTCGATGTCCGTGATATTGCGGTCCAAGCGTCTTAGCTCTATTTGAACCAGCATAGTTAATGCTTTGATGTCATGATCGTCGTCTTCCAGCCACTCAGTTCTCCTATTTGCTGGAAATTTACCCTCATCTACCTTCATTCGATAGATCGCATCGACTAGCATGTATCGCTGAGTGAAACTATGGAGTCGCTCCTTAGCGTATGTCGCCGTTTTCCAGAGACGTGAAGCAGATACAGCAAGTTCTCCTCCTGTGAACGTCGATCCGGTTGTAGTCAGCATATGATGGGCCATTGAGCATCCAACGCCTTGCCCATTCTGACGTGAGTGTGGATCTCTCCGAGGGTCGTAGTCATCTCATTCTCAATATCTTCTACCGTGACTTTTTCTTCATACAGGTTGGCAAGAGAGCGAAGATTGTTCAGGTACTCGTCTCCTTGAGCCATGATGTACGTCAAATCCTCTGAAACGGTGAAAATCTAATACTGATGGCTAACCTTGCGAATATTGTTATATATTGCTAGTCTAAAATATTGGGAAGCTTATTTACATATTGCTACACTATGATATCGGAATCTAAGGTTTAATGCTGTTTAGTATGCCTTGTACGGCTTTCCTTACGAGAATTTCTACATATTTGGATGCCAAATGCTATTGCTCGTATAACTAATTTTGGTACCAGCAATATTGTCCACTTAAGCAACGCGAAATCCGAAAGCGCAGAGGAACGCATATGTCACAGCTATTGCTATGAATAAACCCAGTATAGCCGCAGCCAGGGTCTTGTACCATTGAAGGAATATGGTCAGAATGTGGAAAATGTCTGGCCATACAAACTCTGTACTAGAGCCTGTTTCTCCGAGAAGCCACTGCTCAATGATTCCTTGGGCTGAAGCCGTGAATTTAAGTATGCCCTCTACATCGAAGGTAGTCACCATCTTTCCCGCATGATATTGAGCAGGTAAACTGTGTGTACGCCCTCGTGGAACTGAAGCGCAACGTTGATGAAGCTCCCGTGGTATTGCAAGGTATTGTGAATCCTATTTGATCGCATATAACTTCAGCATCGATATTGTTCCTGGAAGAGTAGCAAGTTACCTGGGCTAGGGCACCCTTCGCGCAATTGTAGCAGCCTGTTAGGTCGGAGGATTCTGCTCTGCAAATGGCCTCATCGACCAAAATATTCGGCGTAACGTGCCCAGAAAAGCTCATTATGATCTCTGAGGTTACCATGTTGGTCACCTGGGCTTCTACCCTTGCTGCTTCGTGTTTGTGAAACAGCAGTGATGGAAAATTGATAGGTAGTTGGTTCCGCACGTTAGTTATCCACGCATTAAGGGGAAAGTCCCTGCACTTACAGGTTACTCTTGTCTCCGCTGGGAGACACACGCAGTCATCAAAAACTGAGCAGTTGAGGTCTTTCGCATCTGCGTGCGTTGGGCATTGTAACGCCAAGCGGGTATTGCTCTTCCATATTGCTGTGCGTATTGAGTTAGAAATAAATCGGGATTCAAGAAGTTGCAGAGGAGGAATTCCCAGGGATGTTAGTGTGAAGCTAAAGGACTTCCACATAGTGGGAATATTGGGTACTAGCCGTACCGTTATTGTTGACGATTTGCGGGTAGCCCTTTCAAAGTGTGTTAGCTCTACCTCTGCAGATTCAATCCATCTATTGCAGTGAAAAATTTCGAAGATCTCGGAATTGATGGGCTCCATATAAACCCTATAGAATAAACATCCAGAGCTTGGGCTCAGGCAATCACATCCTAGCCACCGCATGATTCCATGCATGCTGTATTGCCGGGAAAGTGATTTCCCTTTCTCTAGTTCAGGAATAAGGACTTGATGTATTGATCGATCCACATTTTTCACCTACGCATGAGCCTCGATGTGCACACCGCTTGCTGTAGACTACTCTGTGCAGTGCGTCCCTTGTGAAGTATTCCGTTTCTGGTTCGCACAGGAGGTGGAGTGCTTTCCACCGCAATCTGATCTCATGTAAAGTGGTGATGTTGTTCGACAGTCGAAGGCAAGCTTCACTCCTGAAGCTATTGATTTTGAAGATTTCTGACACTTGTACCTGGCAAGATTCAGTGTCATCTGTTGTGCAGACTGTCGACTGATGCGTGAATATATTCACCAGTTGGCATCCGCATATCGAAGTGGTTACTGCTGCTAATATTGCCAATATCTCCGCTAGATGACGACGACGTACCGCCACTCTTCTATTGCGGCGAAAT